TACGACAGTTATGAACAGACCGGTACATTCTGTATTTATCAGGTATTTATCTATTTAATAAAACAAGATATTCGTATATATTTATATGTTGCGTATAGCCGCCCAAACAGCTGGACCGATTGGGCTGAAATTTTTTGTGGACACTCATGGGTGACCTGGGAGTGTCATAGGATAGAAAAAACTCGATTTTTTTTTTATTAAAATTTTTTTTTCACATCTTTTTTCACGGGCAACGCCGGGCCCTTCAGCTAGTTATTTAATAAATTTGAAAAAGATTTCGTGATAAAGGAAATGATCAGTTTTTTCTAATCCTGATTTTTTTTGGCAAACTTATCACGTAAAACTTAAATATCTTGAGCCAGTCAAGAAAACAGAAAAACAGCTTTCATAACTGTTTGGAGTTTTAAGCGAAAGTTTCATTATTGTATGCGCCTGAACCAATCAGGTTCCATGTGTTTGTTGTCTATTCTGAATAGTAGTCCATTAGCACCTGATCCAATCAGGGTTCAGTCATGTGTTTGTTGTCTATTCTGAACCAATAGAAATAGTATAGGCGGTATCATCTATCTTTCTATCTATCTCATTATCCAAATAGTAATCCTTCAATCGGCGCTATCAGTAAATAGAAATATTTACTTCTACTGAAACTATAGTGGTTTAGTTTTATACCCAGCTCAATATCCTCAAATATTGTATTTCAAAGTAACACAAATATATATTTTAAAACTAGTATTGAAAACGTAACCTGATATATATAAATATATATTTATGTGAAATATCAATAAATCAAATATAGTATATTAAAACTTTATTAATTTTTCAAGGAATTATATTGCTTGCAATTTTATAATTTCCTGAACACCAAACTAATAAAAATGTTTTCAAATAAAAAAGAAAATACAGATTTAGAGTATATAGAGTGAACATATCGTGATAAACACAATCGACCACCCTGTTAATAGAAGAAGTCATTTTATCTAACATCCTTGATATATATATGAATATAAATATTTTATATACTACCATCATTATCAAATATACAGTTTGATGATCAATGCAAGCTTAAATGTCAGTTTGTTTTATATTTTTAAACCTTTTTATACTATTGAATTTTAAAATGTCAAATTGGTAAAATGAGAATTCTGTTCCTTTCATCACATGGTGTATGTTGTTGTGTCCCAAATATGGTTTATGTCGTTGTGTCCCAAATGTGGTGTATTTCGCTGTGTCCCAAATATGGTGTATGTCGTAGTGTCCCAAATATGGTTTGTCATTGTGTCCCAAATATGGTTTATGTCGTTGTGTCCAAAATACGGTTTATGTCGTTGTGTCCCAATAAGGCTTATGTTGTTGTGTCCCAAATATGGTTGATATTGTTGTGTCCCAAATATGTTTTTTTATGTCGTTGTGTACCAAATATGGTTTATGCCGTTGTGTCCCAAATATGGTTTATGTCGTTGTGTCCCAAATATGGTTTGTCATTGTGTCCCAAATATGGTTTATGTCGTTGTGTCCCAAATAAGGTTTATGTCATTGTGTCCCAAATAAGGTTTATGTTGTTGTGTCCCAAATATAGTTTATGTCATTGTGTATCAAATATGGTTTATGTCATTGTGTCCCAAATATGGTGTATGTCGTTGTGTCCCAAATATGGCTTATGTCATTGTGTCCCAAATATGGCTTATGTCGTTGTGTCCCAAATATGGTTTATGTCGTTGTGACCCAAATATGGTTTATGTCGTTGTGTCTCAAATATAGTTTATGTCATTGTGTAACAAATATGGTTTAGGTCATTGTGTCCCAAATATGGTTTGCGTCGTTGTGTCCCAAATATAGTTTATGTCATTGTGTCTTAATTTCGTTGTGTCCCAAATATGGATTGCGTCGTTGTGTCCCAAATATGGTGCATGTCATTGTGTCCCAAATATGGTTTATGTCGTTGTGTCCCAAACATGGTTTATGTCGTTGTGTCCCAAATATGGTTTATGTCGTTGTGTCCTAAATATAGTTTATGTCGTTGTGTCTCAAATATAGTTTATGTCATTGTGTCTCAAATATGGTTTGGGTCATTTTGTCCCAAATATGGTTTATGTCGTTGTGTCCCAAATATAGTTTATGTCATTGTGTCTTAAATATGGTTTATGTCGTTGTGTCCCAAATATGGTTTGCGTCGTTGTGTCCCAAATATGGTTCATGTCATTGTGTACCAAATATGGTTTATGTCGTTGTGTCCCAAATATTTTTTATGTTGTTGTGTCCCAACTATGGTTTATGTCGATGTGTCCCAAATATGGTTTATGTCGTTGTGTCCCAAATATGTTTCATGTCGTTGTGTCCCAAATATAGTGTATGTTGGTGTGTCCCAAATATGGTTTATGTCGTTGTGTCTCAAATATATGGTGTATGTCATTGTGTCCCAAATAATTCAACTTGGTCGTATTGTACCGCATACTTTAACTTTGTATTGGTGTTCCAAATACATTAACTTTGTCCTGTGTCCCAAATGCTTAAACAGTAACAAGTAATGAAAGAGAAGCTTTTTAGATTGACAGCTTTACGTGATTTTTTTCCTATCCATGCTTTTTAACAGCTTGATATATAAATCTAAAATTAAGATCAGAAGTCGTTTTCCTTGTATTGATATTTGCAACGACGACTGTACAATCTGCAATGAGAACTTACTCAATTATCATGATTTACAAAAGAACCATCAGTTAAAAAATACTTTAACCATTCCTGCTAAGGGGGGGGGGGAGGGGTCAATTTGACCCCCCTGTAGTTTCTTTTACATAACTCAAAAAGTATTGGTCTGAGGCTGTTGAAATTTTCTGACTTTTCCTACATACCCAAAGCCCTCCCTTTAGGCCTAAAACCGGGCTTTAATACTAACTGCCTGAGTACTCAGGCACACTGCCTGAATGACTGTTTTTTCCTGTAACAAACTAAATCTTTGTTTTGACCCACTTTCACTTGTCAGATTTTGATAAAATTTAGCTTTTTGGAAAGCCTATGACATAAGGAAACGGATTGCACAAGTTTAGCGAAAAAATTGCAAATTTTTTGCAAACAATCTGGCAAAGGAAATTTGCAGATTTTTAGTTTTTCTTGATAAAAAATCAGGTTATTTAAAATTTTGCAAAACTTTTTGCATATTTGAAATGGCATGGTCAAGGGCTTTTCATATTGTATAATGAATCATTTTTTGGCCAATTTTTTTTGCAAACATTTTTACTATATAATTGGATTTTGCAAGAAAAAATTCAATTTTTGCTAATTTTCAATTTTTTTTGCAGATTCTAAAAGTAGAGCACAAGAGCTTTCCAATGATGTATCATTTGTCATTTTTGGACATTAAATATGGGATTTAGAGGGGGGGGTAAAATTGACCCCCCCCCCAACGTATTCTGGTTTTCAAGTACCCCAGCAGGGATAGGGTTAAAATCAGATTTACTTGAAATAATTCACCGACTACTAGGCAACTAAGTGAAGTTGCCCAGTATACACTATAAATAAAGACTATATAATGCATGGAGAGTACACAAAATGAATTCCTCTTGTGATATTATTGTAAATGTTTCTAGCTCAGATTATAAAAAACAACAATAACAGTTCAAGTGACCCTTTATGCAAAAATGGCAATGTCCTATCAATGAAACCCTTGAAACCTCAATCTCACTCAAAATGTGTTTAATTGGAATAGTTTCTTTATTGATTCTCGAAATGCGCAAGCCAGTATCGCAGAGAAACCGCAAATGAAAACAAACAGTTTAAAGAAACAAAAACTTGGATATCTAAGTCATTCTTGATCAGACAAGGCTTTTAAGGGTACCGTTGTAAATCTGGCAATTACAATCTTTGCATGAATAGTCACTTGAAGTTGGCTTACAATCCCTTTAACAAATAAACCGACTTGTATAAAAAGTGTATTTAGCAAGAATATTCCAACAAAAAATTAACAAGATAGACAAATAAAACTAGTTATCAGGAGAAAGAAGTAGAACTGTGAGATAAAGACGACATTTGCCGAACTTGTTCTTCCCTCCAGGCTCCAGCTGTAGCCCTGGGTAGCAGCACCTGGACAAATAAAACAATCAATATGATTTATTTCATATGCAGGTAAAAAATTATAAATCACCAAACCTCTTTTATAATAAATATTAACCCAAGAAAAATCCATGAATCTACCGCTAATAATTCCAGGGCAAAAAAACAAATGCATCAAATACTTTTTTTAGTGATGTCTAAAGCAAGTTTTTGCGAAAATCTTTTATCAGAATATTAGGTTTAACATTGGAATAAGAGAAAAGATAATATTTTTAGTTTTCATGAAAATATTATTTTTAGAGAAATATATGTCTCAGCTCAGCTCATACAACTTTTATTAGATTTTTTCTATTTTCTGATTTTTTCCATTTCTTAATGTTTTCATTAAATATTGAACAGTAGAAGTAGTTTAAAGATTGGTTTCCACATTTGTTATAGCGTTTACTTATTAACCCTGAACTCCATAACTTTACTCCAAGGCCTTTGTTTAAGGAAGGGTGCTTGGGGGGAGGGGGGGGGTGAGGCGCGAGCCCCCCCTTGGTTTTTTATAAAATCAAGGTTCAAGATGTTGGCAACATCATCGTTAGACGACCTTTTATTCCAAGAGTGTCATAAACTATCAACGTCATTCGACTTTTATAGCCATCACACAATATATATATACATATATATATATATATATATATATGATACTTTACTAACAGATACACAGATATTTTACTCACAGATACACAGATACTCTACTCATAGATACACAGATATTTACTTTCAGATACACAGACACTTTGCTCACAGAAACACAGATATTTTACTCACAGATACACAGATACTTTACTCACAGATGCACAGATAATTACTGATGGATACACAGATACGTTACTTGCAGATATAAAGATACTAGCTTTACTCACAGATAAACAGATACTTTACTCACAGATACACAGATAATTACTGATAGATACACAGATACTTTACTCCCAGACTGGAGGGGGGGGGCCCAGATGTACAGACAGTTTTACCTGTGTCTGTATGCCTGTATTGAATTGATCCCCAGGAATAATAACGTTTGTCCAATCATCTCCTTCATAAGTTCCTCTCATCTGTCCCTGCTAAATAAATATTAAAGGGACTGTCCTTGTAGTAGAGATGGGTGCATTGGGCTTTTTATATTTCGTTTGTTCATCATTTCGCTTTTTTCTATTGTTCAATGATAATTGATTTCATTTGTTCTAAAAAATATCGTTCATACTCCATCTATTTCATTAGTTTTTTTTAGTTAACGATTGTTCAGTAAACTTATTTCTTCAGTAAAATCGTTTATTCAATGAAATAATTCGTTTAATTTTTTCAAAAGTTTATAAGATTTTCAGTAAAAACAATAATTATTAAAGGTTTGTTCCAAAAATCGTTTATTTTGTGAAAAACGATAGTTTTTGTCAAAATCTGTTAAACAATTTGTTCTTTCAGTAAAAATCGTTCGAAAATTTATATAGTTTTTTTTCGCTCGTTTTAAAAAAGATTGTTTTTCATTTCTCTAAACGATCCAAGACATTCGTCCATTGTTCTTTTTTTTAACAAAAACAACATTAAAAAAAAATTCGATCTTTCTCAAAAATGTCGCTCGTTCACAAAAATGATGCCCATCCCAAGACTGTAAACGTAATTTCCAGCGACCCTTCATTTTCATGGCATGTCTGATTCACTACGATGGCCCTAAAACCTGTATATGAACAACAATCGCATTTTTTCTTAAAATGGTTAAATTCTGGTAAAACTAATGTTCTTCGTCGTCTCTGAAGCCACAATAAGAATATACTTCATTCATCATCATTCATTGATCATACAAAGGTCTGATGATGGGTATTGTTGTGAATCTAGCATGCTGCAATAGCAATGAAGGGTCACTTGAAACTAAAAAAAAATTTAAGAAAACATACAGATAATATAATCTACACCTTTCATTTTCTCTTCCACATTATTTTTTCCTTCTTTTATCATTATTAGCTTTTTTTTAGTTATAATCTATATATTTTTTTATTTACTTTTTCTCTGTATCAAATTACATATAATTCTCTTATTCTCTTTTATACTAACTATTGTTATGGTTCATTTACATTCAGACCTATATACATATCCCGTGAATAAGCAACACAACAGTTTTTTTTGATATTTTCAAAATAATTGGTATAGAAATGGTCTGTATATTTCAAAGAGAATATAATATATATATATATATATATATATATTATTCTATTCTCTTTGCTATATTCTTAATTCTTATCTTTTCATCGGTTTAAACTGTTGCTGATCTCTAAATATTAAATTGCCACAAAAAATCTATTGGTCTGAGACAGCAATCTAAATTTAAAGCAGACAAAATTGATTGATTGAAGAAAACTTTTAATTCTCATATTTTATATTCAACATCTTCTTTAGAAAAGTTAATTGATACCATTCTTATGAATTCCCAACTCCCCTTCTGGAATTTTTTTGTGATTAAATGTCTTAGAATTTTAATTGACTAATTAATAAATTCTCCTCTATTTTCTAAAACATAAGACAAAAAAACGAAAGCATGGGAAAATTTCTTTAATTTAAAAAGAATTTAAAATTTGGGACATTCATCATTTATTCCAAAAAATATTTATAAATTTTCAGAGACAAAATAAAATGACCCCCTTCGAAAAACTTAAATGTTGCATGGTTGGAATTACATTGATTAATTCTATTCTAGGATTTGAAAGTTCATAAATTATTTACTGCTTCAAGGAAATTGAATCTAAAACCAATACTTGCACACTTTTCACAGCTCTACTTACATCAGAACATTAGAGATAGATTAAATACTTGCACACTTTGCACAGCTCTACTTACATCAGAACATTAGAGATAGAGTAAATACTTGCATACTTTGCACAGCTCTACTTACATCAGAACATTAGAGATAGAGTAAATACTTGCACACTTTGCACAGCTCTACTTACATCAGAACATGAGAGATAGAGTAAATACTTGCACACTTTGCACAGCTCTACTTACATCAGAACATTAGAGATAGAGTAAATACTTGCACACTTTGCACAGCTCTACTTACATCAGAACATTAGAGATAGAGTAAATACTTGCACACTTTGCACAGCTCTACTTACATCAGAACAT